GAATGCGGAATTACTGTGGAAGTAGGTGTGCTTAAAATGCCTGCAATGGTCCAAGGAAACGGTCCTGAACAGGGGAATGGACATATTTGCCCGAAGCTAAAAGTGTAGGAGCTCCAGGAGCGGATGACAAGGTTCGAAAATTTGGAAGAATTTGGGGAGGGTGTGTGGAATGTGGGACACTGCGGTCCTCATCAAAAGCGGACTTCAAAATCACGCGTTCTCTTATCCCTCGTTTAGAGAGCTTGAAGGAGTGCCCCTCGGAGCTCAATGGAGCTTTTGGAGCTGGAGCTCAATGGAGAAGGTATCGACGAGTGGCTCTCCCCGACATACATTTCACCTCATTCTTTGAATATTTCATTACAACTCTTTCCAACTATTAATCTTGATCTAGATATTTTTAGCGTCGGGTTTTCTATCTGATAAATTACAGACTGCTAATTACAGACTGTGCGCCCAACAACACGAGCGCTGGTTTCAGCGCCGGGTAATGCCGGTATCAACTCGCTTGGTGTCAGCACATCTGCGGTGGCCACGTCGACAATGGCAAGTTCGGTCTACGATTGCCTTGACATCCCATGTCTCTGTGGCTTTTTCGGAGGTAATCGTTGAACTATATGGAATCCTAATTCGGGTCTACCTGTCTGAATGAGGTCGTTCAAGGAACTGGTGGGACCACGTGCACACTCCCAAACGGGCAAACATTGACGAAAGCGATTCGCAAGGAGTATCGCGTTATGACAGACGACGAGCGGCAAAAGTATGCCATTATTCATTTCGTTGATTCCCATCATTTTTCATTTGATGCAACTAGTGTCCACTGATTGCTTTGCCTGCAGGGATCCGTCGAGGCCCTAAAGACACATTCCACGATTTCTTGAAAGAACTGTGCTTCACGTAAAATGTTGACCTCTCTGCAAGCGCAAGAGTTGTATAAACTCTGGAGAACAATCTTACAAGGTGAACCAGCTAACGCCCAATGTTGCTGCAGCGGCTCCGCCCCACGACTGTGCCTTCTCTTTAGAATGGACATCACGGAAGGTGTCTGCGCCTTGTCTGTCCACATATTCTCTCATCTCCACGCATTCGCTCATGCATTGGCCAGCGTTTATCGCGGCAAGCTCTCACAATGTCCAAAATGAGTGACAAAAAATGGGTCCTGTCTGGGCACTTTCCGGCGGGTTCTTTAGCTTCTTTTTGCGTTGTCGAGCCAACGAGCACCTACAGGTTCCGCTACTGAACCCTGCTGCCCACATTATACAAGCGTGGAGT